GGAAGGGGTATAACGATGTAATTTAGTAAAGGAATCCAAAACTTTATCCAGTGTTCAAGCAGCAGAATTTGGTGATCATTCACCAGACAATTTTTAATGCAGTCTTTGCAACTTTCTCTCTGTGTTCAGGAAATGAGAATTTACCCACCTTCAACAACTTGGCTGCTGATCACTGAGCGGTTAGTTCTTCTCATAGGACTCTACATGGTAAATAGCCCTATTTATTACTTGTCCTTTTTTTAGCAATATGTTAGCTCAGAAGCAAGACTGTAGTGTGAAGAGCTGTCTTGGCAACACATTTGAGATGGGGAATAACATCAAAACCCTCCAAACCAAGTTCTTCCTTCCTTGACTCTAGAAAGTACAGAAAAAGTTACATTTGAAAGCTATACCCAGATACACAATGCTGTACTCAAACCGCTGCTCTTATAGCAGGACACTGTTAAATTTGTATAGATTTTCTCATGCAGCTTTATTTATAATAAAGGTGGTCTTTACAAAATCTAAAGAAATGTGAAGTCTACTGTATTTCTAGTTTCCCCCAAAAATTTCCTGAGGGAGCAAAAGGATGGAGTTGGGATGTGCCAGGTGGGATCTTAGCACGGTAAGTCCAATAGCAAGATTCCCTGTGATGTACGGACAGCATATAGAAATTGTTCCAGAATAAGATGCAATGTGTAAGTAGAATAGCTCTTCTAGAATAATGCCAGGGATATCAGACTTACCAAAACTATGAATCCACAGGAATTCAAAATAATTATTCTGGGTATCTCTGCTCAAAAAATGCCCTTCTGTGGCAGGCCTCAAATCCTGTTGATAGATGTCACCATTACTGGCTCAATCAGATCTCCTGAATTTCCATTTGTGTTACAGGAATCCTTTTTACCTGCTTGTTTTACAGGTACCCACAGCCAAGTCCCAGTAACACCCCCTCACCGCCTTTGCCTCCTGCTCAGCTCATTCCCTGATATTTTAAGGGAAAGGCACCTCCTTGTTAATACTCTTAATGCACTCTGGCAAGAAATCCAAAGCTATTTATAAGTTCATATAATAAAAAAACTCTGTTTCCTTGTCAACATCTCTCCCAGCCCCACAGAATGCTCTGTGCACCTTTAATTAATGACTCTGCCTTCCAGTGATCTCTGGGGATGAATCAGCATTGAATAGGTCTCAGAAGTGGCTGGCTTAGAGTTGTAGCGCAAGTAGCCAGGAGTTATTCTTTCCTATGGTCAACCACATACTGCAGTAAATGGAAATTGTGAGTGCTGCGGCCCAGGGATCAGCAGCAGTCCTGGTTGTTTTAGTGCAACTTTGCTTTAAAAATAAACAAACAAGCAAACCCCATTCCTTTAAGCTCAGTCTGACAAACCCCACAGCTCAGCAACATTTTCCTCACTGAGCAGCTGACCTCCTGGGGTGTTTTTGTTTGTTTTTGTTTTTTCCTCTTACTTACTTACTGCTTCTGTGTTGCCATGTAACAGACGGGGTCACACCAGTGTAAAATCCTTTTTGGGAAGGGCAATAAGCAGATTTTTGGTCCACACAATGGACATTACGATAATATTATCTACGATGAAGCACCGAGGCAGAGATCGAGACAGAGGCCAACGCTAGCTGCTCTAGATATTTTTTTGCTTTCTCTTCTAGTAGTATAATGGTTTTTCTCTAGGCTTTGAATCCAGATTTAAGGAGCGGCATCTTTCTTCAGAGATTCAAATGCTTGTGTTTTTCTTATCTCCAGGCTTTTTAAAACCCCGATTCCAACACGTTACAGACTTCTGATAAAGTCCAACAACATAAGATTATGGCTACGCTTCACTCCAGAAATGCAATTCTCACACCTGCTGACAATATACTTACAGGTGGACATAAGCTAGAGGTAACAGTAACTCTGCAGTGCAAACCTTAAGTGTGTGATTTACAGCTAGAGCTTTATGTAGCACACTCAGACACAGCTACTTGTTTATGCTCTGTTGGTGTGTAAAGGCACTGTCTGGGATGTCCTTCATTCCTTGAGCAAAGGGACAGACCACCCTAAGCTTGGCTAATGAGCACATGAACTTGAACTGTGAGTAAACCTCTTGGTCTTGGCCTCTCATTTTCATCAATATGCAATTGCCTTTCAGTTGCAGCTGTACTTTTACAAAGAGGAACTGACTTTTTAAAAACACTATTTATCCAGCATAGTCAGGGATACGGGTTTTGTGCACTGATGACAGCCCTGAGTGAGAGTCCTGGAAATAGTGTGCATAACAGCCATTCCCTCCTGCTGCAGAATGGTTAATTACTTTACGTTACCTTCTAATTCTCTCTCCCCTTCAACAATCAATTTCTTCTAAAACCAAAACTCCGCAGGAAAAACTTCACAAATGACTGATTTTGACTTAGATTTAGAAAGCAGCACACTTTTTCCAGCTAGAGGTAGCTCTGCTTTTATTGCCACCTTAAAGATGAGTTCTAATGTTTCTGGAAGTATACTCTGACATTTTTTCAATACATTGGGAACGCAAATCAGGGTAATGTTTGTGTTGACACAAATAAGCACTTTTCAAGGGTTAAGTCATCCAGAGAGGGAGGCAGAAAGGTAAAGAGAAGAGAAAAATTTGCCACTAGTAATATATGTAATGATTTTTTAGCACTTATGGAATATCCACAAGCAAGGACAGAATCTCCTTTATTTTAAGCAGGCAGAAATGTTAGTGCTATAAAACTGCAGGAGCACTCTCAAAGGGTATCGTGACCTTCAGGCCTGCTAACCATAACTTGGTCAGGAACCACCAGCAGTAATGCTGGGAGTGCTGGCCTCAGAATGGGATAACCGCTCAAGAATTGCTCATTTCTTGAGCAGCTTTTGTCCCCTCTGCTGAACTCTGTTGTGGTTCTTCACTTGCAGGTATAAAAGCTAATTCAGGTCTGTCCCCATGTGTCACTGGCAGAGCAGCAGATAGATGCTTTCTATCTGGATTGTGTATATTTGGCAAGAAGGTTTCTCAAGATCATAGCTGAACCACAGACAGCAAGAACCTGCATATTAGTTCAATGGCTCCAACCAAGCATTAAGTTGGTTGTACTTTTTCCAAGAAGAACTGCAGGCCATCCTACTTTCTTCTAAAATGAATTCATTATGGCAATATAAACCAGGTTATAACCAGTTTTCTATACAGTCAGTGTGTATGTGTGTGTGTGTGTGAGGAGGAGGGTCTATGCATTCATCTTCTGCCAAATAACTTTTGAATCTGTCAAACAATTTAACCAAGTTTGACATATCTGCAGAGAACTCAGAAATACTCAGAGCTTATCCAAAGTGTCAGAGAAAAGATTATTGGCCATTTCTGTCTTGAAGGTGGATAGCTTAGCTTTACTGACCTGCCCTGAGGTGGAAGGGTAGAAGGGAAATGTTTAAACACAGCCCTTGTTTAGGCATTTGAGTGCTTGTAAAATGTCCGACTGTGTCATGCTTTTAAAAATTGCACACAAGAATGAAGATTAAAATCCTAATAGAAATTGTTAAAGTCTCTTAGGAAGTCTGGGGGAAAATGGGTCAATGCTAGATGTGAAACAACCTTCAAATCCACTGACAGGCCTGTAGCCATAACAGTCTCAATCCAGCAAAGATTTAGGCAAGTCCAAGGGGCTAGGATTAGATTTCTGTCAGTACCTTGCTGCTTTCCAGAAATGCCACAACATTTAAATGCCACTGGAAATCCAATTAGGCACCCTTCTTAGACAAGCTAGCATTTAGGATCTAATGCGGTGCGGTACAGGCCCAGCAGGCAGGGCTGGGCTGGGCCAGGCCGAACTGAGATCAGTAACGCACATTGTTCACAGCCTGACTCATCTGTCAGTTCACCTCCCTGGGTGCATCAAAGGAGGAAATTCATTATATTGTTCCTATACTTCAGTTTTGCTCTATAGCCCTCTGCTGGAAACCAAACAGCACTGAGGGATTTCCCAAAGCCAATGGGGAGATGCTACTTAGCTTATTACAATGTTGCAGGTCTCCTGCCAGCCAGGAGCATCTCCCCATAGGCTTTGGGAAATCCCTCAGTGCTGTTTGGTTTCCAGCAGAGGGCTGGTTGAGCTCTCTCTATGCTTCATCAGCGTGCTATATGGACACAACCCACAGAGTTAGTGTTAAAGCCAGGTATATTAACTCCCAGCTTCTTGTGCCCCTAAGCGCGAGTGATGCATAGCAGCCCTGCCTGGCCTATGTCGCAGCAGGTGTTCCCATGGGACAGAGGTATTCTGCACTGTCAGCACGATACTCCTGCTGGTTAAGCTCACCTCAGGGCTGTGGGCGCATTATCACATCACATCACTGTTATGAAGCTCCTGTATGTAAACCTAGAGAAAAGCAAGGCTTGTCCACATGCAGGTTTCTACCAACAGCCCCATCTTCTGCATTTCAACACAATGACTCGCTCCTTCTGCCAGAGCCACATTGGGCATAGCTTTAGAGGTTAAAAGTTTGATCCAGAGCACAAACATACCAGCACAACACAGTGAAGCTACACAAGGCATATGAAGAGCAACTGAGAGACACTAAGCCTGTGGGTTTGAAGGCATGGGTTATATATAATTAGAGCTGTTTTCTCACAAGGAGAAGCGGCTGATTAATCTCCCTGCATTAGCTATTACAAGTAAGATGAGAAAGCCTCTGCTTCCAAGGTTAAACAGGCATGGAAAAGGGCTGCTACAACAGCAATAAGTAATGAATAAAGAGGAAAAAACAACCACGCTCCAACTTGTGGATTGGCCCAGAGAGCGTTTTTGTTGAGAACTCCCTTCTGACTCTGGTTTGAGTGGCAGGAGCAGGAAGGAGCAAAAGCACCACTTTGGGGAAGGAAAACATATGCAGAGCACTACAGGAAGGATGGTATTAAGCAGTAACGTCTCACTGTTGGTGCTCTCATTGATTCTTCAAGTGTTCTGAAGTTGACAGCTTTTTTCCTCCTTTTCCCTCAGCATTCCTATGCCTTTGCTGGGCATCACAGGGGTGACTCACGCAAATGGTTTGCAGTTTACAGGAAATATTACCTCCTCCCTACTCTGCTTGTGGCTGTTCAGTGCCCTCTTCCTTGGCTCCGTTTCCCACACAGAGGTGGCTTTTTCCATTGGCTCTGCCAGGACAGAGTGGTGGCTCTAAGATGCAAACCTGCAGCACATGCTGTGAGCTCTGAGACTGCAGCCTGTGCATCAGGAGACAACTGTGAACGGTACAGGAAAGGCTCGATATCCCAGCTCTTAAATGTAAGATGCATTTTCTGCTTCCTCCTGGACTCAGATACAGTGTTACTGCACACTGTTAAACACTTGTCACATTCCACCCCAGATGCAACTGCACCTCACTGACAAGTTTTATAATTCCTGTTTCAGCAAGTCAGCAAAACGCTTCAGGAGGGAAAAGTACTAACAATGCTGTATGGCACTACTAATCTGCTCAGCTCAAGCAGTAACTGGCAGCCCTGTTGGCTTTGGACTAGCAGTGGAAAAGAGTGCTTCCATCTTATTAGAGAAATCAGGGACAGTTTAGTAAAATGGTATCTGATTTCCTGCCTGTGAAGAGACTGTGTTTTCATCAGCCCTTCCCAAGTGAAGCCAATGTCCAAGAAACAGTGACGAAATCATCAGGCTACTAACAAAGAAAGGAGAAGATAAAAAAACAGCCAACTCTCAAACTCTGACAATGGAGGGGGGACATTACAGATGTCATGACAGTGAAAAAATGGGGAGAGCAGGCCCAGGAGATGTATGCACATACTATGCCTAGCACATGCTCTCATACACAGCCAGACACGTCTGACGAGCAGGCCAGAGCTCAGCTTCCTTCTGCAAATATCAATGACAGGTGATAAACGGAACAGGGTAAGAAGTCGAGTTTTCCTTTTCTCTTCCTTTTTAATTGATTAGAAGGAACAAAAAAACCCACGGGTATTTGTTTGGAGTTCACCTAACTGTTTCAGGAGTCCCTAGCCTGCGACATTTGAGACTTTTCATATCAGTACCTCCAGTAACCAGTTCCAGCACAAGGACCACAGGCCCTTCTAGCCTCTTTGGACAGGCTCTTCTCAACAATTCCCCCAAGCAAGGGCCTTCTGCCCTAGCCACAGGAAGGCATTCCCATTCACCCAAGATCCCACCTAACTTACCAAAACTCAGCAAACTTTCCCAGGTCTGATAGTCTGGTATCACCATGCTTCCCTCCACGTTGGCCTCCTACCTTGCTCTTAGCCTCAATATAAGGGATCTTAACACAATAATCAGGAACAAGAGGCTGGACTATGTCTTGCACTGCAGTACCAGCACCGTTGCAAGGACATCAGTAAAGCTGTAGGGATGTGCGAGGAACGCAGGACACAACTGGGCCCCTTGCCTTGCTAATTTTAAGCATCCATCCTGCCCCTAAATTTGCAGAGATTCTACAATAGCCTTGTCCTTAATGAACCCTGACTTTTAACTTCTTTGCTTGTGCCCAGAGCAGTTTTCATACTTGGTGGCACAGCAAATGGGAACAACAAAAAAAGTCACCGCTATCCTAGAAACATAAACATAATAGCACCAACAATTAACTTTCAAGGACAAAATACAGAGTAGAGAAGGTGAGTAAACACGATACTTGCTGTTCAGTCTGATCCCTGTAAGATTTTAACGGGAGCTCAAACCAAATGGCAGAGCTGTTACACTGCTTGATCTTTTTTTATTATTGTTCATTTCATCTTCCTCCTCTCTACTGACCAAAGTTTAGTATGTGTGTTGTCTACTTGGCCTCTTTAGACTAGTATCACGTATCCTTTACGCCCATCCACCATGGAAGGAAAGACTCAGCTCATTCCACATAACTTTTCCTTTCCTTTGAAGACTTGGCCAAACTGTTGCGTATTCATTACCATGTCAAAAACCGTGCCTAAGGCCTGCATTTCCTGGTGTGCTGTAACGGGTTCAGGACCCCAGCTGTGTGCTGCGGGATTTACAGCACTGATATTTAATAGTAAATTATAAGGCGGGATATTTCATTTGCTTTTTTTTGCTGAAGAAGCATATTTATAATGGTACACTCCAGAGCCAGGAAACAAAGATGGGGAGAGCACAACTTTCTGTTCAGACAACACAATGAAGTCTCCTGGTTACTGTGGTCTGGCCTTAGCCACTTACATTTTAGATGTCAGTCTCTGTTCTTAACCCATCAGTGGATCTTCCTAATGTCACATCTCCCACTAGTTCCCAATAATATATTGGAGTAAACTGCAACATGTCCCCAGCATGTTTATGGAAGCCAATTTCCAGGCGTATTTACTAATAGCCTTAACAAGCTCTAAACAAAGCAGAGTAGCTAATAAAACCAAAGTGTTCTGCAGTTAGCAATTGCTGGAAGTTTGCCATGGGGATCCCATCAACACCATTTCAGCAACAGGAGCTTCATCAAGCCCACGCCCTGCTTCCAATCTAACAAAAGAGCCTAGCTCCATCTTCTCACATACCTCACATCTTAATGCCTCCTCTGCACACGCTACCCTGATCCTGCAAGCCAATGCCCACCACAAAGATATAGCTGCTTCCCCACATCACTCCAAATCAACAAGATCTTCCAGCAGAAAATCTCCTGGGAAGACTGTTGCAGTATTTGTACATTCATTCTGAGCTACAAGGGATCCATATAATGCTGTGGGACAAGGCTGGTTTCTGTTCCAGCTTGCATATTGCCCAAGTTCCTAACATCCACAGTAAGGTCATACATGAGCCAAGAGAACCTAGCTCTAACAACCCAGCTTCAATCAAGAAATCGTTCTGCCACCCACCCCAGTGGGGCTGTCATTCTTGCAACTGTTTTTTTCAGGACAAAACTGAGTTTTGAGTTTTCAGTATCAACATTCAGTTTCAAAAATCATGAGCTTTCATGGGCAGTAAAATAAAACAGCTTCCTTTGGTTGTGCTTTTTTAAGGCTATACTTTCCCCCATTCTTCTCCCTCTCCTCTCAGCACCTTGCCACTTACAATTTTATGCAACAGACCTTGCAAATTTAAACAAGGACAGGCTAGATTCATAGCTAGGTGGGAGGCGTCCAACTAGCCTACCTGTACAACACAAAGTGGCAAATAAGAACTCTGACGCTTGCATAAATCCTAAATCAGTCAAGTCTTCCATTGGGGCAATTTGCTGTTAAGTACACATCATGCAGAGAAGACGTAAGATAGGAATCCAAAGCACTGCGGTCACTATAGACAGCGTGGTCTTATTATGCCAGTTAAGTGCAGCGGGCAAGGTGCCTCAATGCCAATAGTCATAATGGTATCTGGCCTAATTACTCCCTGTGACAGAAGAGGCTTTTAGACTTCTTGTCCTAAATGATTACCTACAGCACTCCTGAATCTTTGAAAACAGAACCTTTACTCTCTTGAGGATGTATGTCAGGGGTGAAAACACATTAAAAACATGGCCTGGACATTTTCCAGAGTAGCATATAGGACTCCCAGCAAAATGCTGCATAAAGTCTTGACGCACCGAGAACACATACCCAGTCTCCTCTGAGCTTGGTTCTCGCACTTGATGTTTTCCTGCTGTTTACAGGACACACAACGATCAAGTGCAGCACAGGACACGCAAGCCTTGTGCTATTGCAGAGTTAATTTGTGTCTAAGGAGAAGGCTGCCCATCAGTGAAGACCCATCCACATGCAACCAACCCAGGTGCTCTGCTGGAAGATGATAGCTTTAACTGAAGTTTGCTGATCCACAAGGGGGTTGGAGCAGTAACTGCTCCAGACAGGGGTTGGCAAACTGGGCTAATTCAAATGCCTGAAGTGTCACTCTTCTCTGCTGATAATCATGAACTCCACTCTGCAACACAGCCATTCCCTGAGCTTCCTTTGGGTATCTGAGATGCTCTGCATAAGCACTGCTCTAAACCAAAAGGAAAACCGAGATGTCAAGTGACAATCTACTAAACATCTGCAGCATCAGATTTGGATTGTGCAACCTTTACATAAAATCTGTACTCTGGAAGGGACAGCACAGTAATTACATTTTTCTAAGTAGTGTCAGCTGTGTTTAAAAGCCACAAGATAAATTGGGGGGGGAAAACCTGCACAGTTTGAGTTAAAGCTAGTAAGGGCATAAATAAGCCCCTCTAATGTCTGTGTGCTCGCAGACTGCAGCCTCCAAGAGCACATAAGCTGGTAGGAAGCATATTTATTGGAGGAGCTTCTGTTAATTCTTTTTCCTCTTCAAATGTCTTTCATATCTGCTTTCCTACTTGAAGTTACACAACCATGCACTTCCTCAGTTAGTAGGTTGGGGCAGACTGCATTGGGGTGGGGGCTGGGGGGAAGATAAATTAGTTCGATTTTCCTCCAGAACAGCTCTGAGACACTCAGGACCTCAGATTCCAGGAAAACCGTAAACTACCACCTTCTGCTATTCTACCTTACCTCATTGCCATGGCAGACATCACAACAGTCTCATGCATCTCATAGCAACCATCTCAGCACTGCTAGAACTGCAGCCTTGTCCTTAAACTGGGATATTCTGCTTTACTTTGTTCCCTCTGCAAGCTTATTTCCTGGAATTATGACCAGTTTTGCAAAGACATACACATCCAAGCAACACAGTGGGCCATAACTCTTTTAATACCCTGTTTGGGGGGGGGAGGGGGCGGGGGGAAGAAGTCTGCCTTCTCCTATGACTACTTTTGAATCAAATACTCCTGTCTCCACACCTAAAGTCTAGGGGACTTTCAGCATCTAGGAGAGCTTCAAAGCTGTCCAACTGCAAAACAGTTTCTGGAAGCAACTGGGAGAGTCACAACACATTTATTCCTTCCCCAGCAGCAAGATGACAGCAGTACGTAACACTCAGACTGAACTCTTTCTACTTCAGTTCTCCAATTTCATATACATCTTGACACATACAGCAAAGCTTTGAGTTCTGAAGCAGTACAGCAAACAAGCATCCTTCTGCTCGGAATATGGTTTGTGTTAACTTTACCCCATACGCCAGCTTCTAGGATAATTGAGATTAGGACCTAGAATTAATAGAACTTATTGCAAAGAAGGGTTATAACCACAAACCCCCTTACAAACCTTACCCAAACTGGAAACCATTGCTAAATGGTTCCATCAGCCACAGCTTCAGCAGGGGTGAGTGGGTGGGGTTGTAAGTCCAGTGGTTTGGCAGTAGTGGTCTCAAAAGAGGAAGGTAGTTTACACGAGGATAACTGTGTCTTAACTTCAGAGACCACTCTTACCTGTTTAGCCTTGATAGCACCTCACTCCCCTCTGCACAATAAGTCCAGTGACTAACAGCTGCATGAAACAAGGGAAAAATAACTGTATTTAAAGAAATCATTGTTTGCTTTATTTTCAAGACACCAGGATTACATTTTTTTAAGCCAACTCTGATGGGGTGGGTTCAGTGACTACTCAACAGAAACACTTGAGAAGAGGCCACAGGGTCACCTCTGAGTCAAGTCAACGTTTTCCTCTACATGATATATACCACCACCAGTGACTTTCCACCTCCCACCTGAAGCCAACACATCCTCCTCCTGACCAGAAGGAGGGAATTCACAGGCTTCTCAGCCTTTTCAGCACGGATTTATTCCTATTGCAAAACACACCATAAAGAGCCCACACCAAACTGCACTATGTTCCCACAGCTCACACTGAAAAGAAGCACTGCTCCTTCAGCAGCACGTTCCCAGTGGCACCTCAAAGCCCATAATCACATGCCTCGGGGCTGTTCTTCAAATAGAGCTGGAGGTAGCCTTTGTATGTCTGTGGATCAGTCATCGTAGCCTTGACAGCAGGGTCCTCCTTCATAGCCTCCATCCAGCGTTGGAGCTTTGGGGTGTGACTCAAAGAGCTATGGGAAAAGGAAAGAGACTGAGTAATGCAAATGGGAAACCAAGAGAGCATCAAGGAAACAAAAGAGCTTGAGAGGTTCTGTTTTACTGCTTGTTTTGCTTTCTCCCTTCCAGCATAACGTTAATCTCAGAGAAGGTGACGGAAATAGGTATCAAATCACAGAAGATGGATTGGCATCTGGAAAGTAAAGCAGTTCTTACAGAGCACAGCTGAGCAAAAACACAGATAGGTACCTCTTGTGCACGGTATAAGCATGTTTTCACCTTCACTATCCCTGCTGCAAAAGACACTTTGCTCTGTTAACTATTCTCTCCTTTGTGTTGAGGGTAGAGGCTTGTGCCACACTGCCTCCTTCTGGAATGCTTTGTTAGCGGCGAGTCTCTAAAAAATGCTGCATGCAGCTTCTGAGTCCTCCTCCCAACCCCAGAACCCCTTCTCGCCTCTGCACTGTGTACCAAGATAAGTGTTGTGCAATTTGTACTACCTTGCAATCCAGCAGCTCAAAATCCAGGCCCAGTGTCTAATGAGGAAATTCATGATTTGACTAGTGGATTAAATCCACAAACCTGCTCTGACACACATTTGAAAAAGAGACTATGTGGCAAATGGAGTAGTGTAACTTATTCTTTCCATTCTCTTCTGGCAGACGGACCCTAGTACTTCATATTCCAATTTCCAACTCCAAGTTTAAGAGTCTAATTCATACACAACTTCTCCAGTTAGCTCCTAAGACTCACCCAGAAAGCATCTTTTCTTAAGGTAGTATGGCTCAGATCCTCAGTCATCCAAATACTTTCATGACTCTAGACCTGTGCTCCTATACTGCTTGTAATACTTCTCTTTCCAGTCAAGGGCCACACAGGAAGAAAGGCAGGCCAGCAATCCATCAGTAAAACTCTTTTCAGTGCCAAAAGTTCCAATACTAAGGATTCCCTGCATCTTTCTTGTTCCTCAAGAATGCTTTAGGCACCAGGGTGAGACTCCAACTCATATTCCCACTTCATCACCCGCTTCCTTTGACATATCAGACTCTCCTGCCCTGCTTTAACCCCCAGCTACAAAATAGTTCTCTTCTGCCACCATTTTCCTTAGTTATTCCAACACCATGGTAACTGAAGCTGTTTAAGAATATAATAGACCAAGACATTTAACAGGACTGCTTCTGTTACAACAGGGACAGGATCTATTAGCTACAGCAAGGTAGGATACAGTTTCCCCATCTCACAACAAAACCATCCTCCTTTGTCAGCCCAGATTTTCTGAAAAGATTCCCTTTCAAATCAAAGGTTTTGGACCAAGAAATTTAAATCTACGTCTCCATACCTCTATCCTCATCAAATAAGGCCCATTTTCCATCTATGGTGTGGGAGCGGAAGTCCTACATTTTTACCACTTCTTCCAGCTCTGTCCAAAGGACTTGGTAAGAAACAGATCCAGTGAAAGTCTTTTTCTAGAAGATCCCTGAACAACTCATCTCAGTTTTGAGATGCTCCCCCTTCTCCCCAAACTGTAACACAGCACACGCTTTCTTCAGCGATCCCCAACAGTGGCCCATGGCTGCAAAGTGTATGCAGAGAACATTCACACTAGGGCGCTTTAGCGTCCGCTAGAAGGTAGGCAAAGTCCGTGATACTCACTCCTGCAGCTGAACTGCCTCCAGACGTTCAAACCAGGGCCAGATCATATAGTCAAACATGGAGATGGAGTCCCCACCATAAAACACAGTATTGCATTTGGACAGCATCTGTTAGGGGAGAGAGATGACAGTCACCCTCAGAAGGAAAATTACATGGCACAACCCTACAAAACAAAACCAACCCTAACAAAAAACCCACCTCATAGTGGAATGCAGGCATACTGAAAGGATCAATCAAGAAATAATGCAGATACAGCACATTTTTCCTGTGTGTGGTTTCTGAGGAGTCAGAACTAGTCAGGAAAGCAGCTGTAATACTAAGTTTAACTATTTTATATACTGTTAGTCAGGCTCTTCTCCACTGCCTGTTCAAAATCAGTTAAAATATTAATCACTAGCAATTTGTGGCTTGTACACAAACAAAAAGGAGCGCACGATCTCCAGCAGTTAGTAATGATTTCTTACTTGTAAAAAAGCAACAGCACTGGAGAATAACCAACTATAACCATACATATGCATTTCTAGAGCAATAAAACAATCTAAATTTAGCATCCAGATAAACTAGGACACGGTTTTTACAGAGACACTTTTCCCATGGCATTTGAGTCCAAGTGGCGTTTGGAAAGCACTTCTAACGTAACATCTAGACCTGCGTTTAACTGCAGATGCAGAGGGAACAGGAAGCAAGTATAACATACACATACCCCAGAGAAACAGAGCCCCAGTATGGGCTCAGCACAGAATGCAGGGCAGTAAAGAACACAAGACTACCTTGCACTAAGCTCTCCTTCTACACTTATGTTTTGGACACCTATTTTGAATGCCACAGTCACCCAAATTAAAACACTTTAAAGAAACCTGAGACCCTTCTTTCAGCAGACTAATACCCCAGTTTTTGGGCACTTTGGTATTTTTAAGATGGAACTCAAGAAAGACCTTACGAATCCTTGTCTTTCTGGACACATACCAAAATAATACCACAGCATTCATTCCCTGCCCCCTATCTCATGATCTAGTAGAAACTCCAAAGCAGTCCCTTCAAGAAATAATGTCAAGATATTTGAATTACCAGCTGTCTGGCAGAATATAACCTGACAGCTGTACAGTTCCAGAGACGGGGACACAGCTCCCTCTGTCAGGTAGCTAGACAGGCTGCTGCGTCAGTAAGCTAGACTCAGAAGTGCTTCAAAACCACTTCACTTCTTGAACATCTTCTGCAATAGGCTGAGTGAAGCCTGCACGGCTGCGTCCCTTTCTCCTATCCTCAGCTCACCTTGAGCTGCTGCTGCTGCAAAATCCTTCAGGGTATAGTAAAATAGAAACACTGAAGAAGCAGCAAATATCTCACTGCATTAATAAAGTGGGATGAAGGTTAATTCTTCCTTAATGTTTAATGGATTTGTATTTCAGAGAAGTGGCTTCCCTCAAGAAATAACTTGTCATCTGCACTACCCTAGTATCAGTCTGATTAGACAGACAGACTACCCTGAAAGCAGTTCTGGTTTGATAACTTAAGGGGGGGAGGGAAGCAGAATGTGCAGCACTGTTAAAAGAATTAGGAAAGTACTGAAAAGCAACTGGAAGCTTTGCACCAGAGCAGAAATATACTAGAAGAATACTTCTTACTCCAGACAGACAAACATTAGTTGTGGCTGCTAGAAATGCAAAGGGAACGGGTTTGTGATAAGGGAATCTGACAGCCATTCCGGTCACTGAAGAACTGGTACTGACACAAAGGCAGCATTGTGAAGTTCCTAATACAGCTTCAAAGCCACCTGATGCTTTCTGGAGCTCAGGTGAAGTTGGGTCACACTGCTGTAGCAGAACATGGCCCTGGGCTGGATTTCTGCCAGGGACATATTATACTCTGCCTCCAGCCCCATAAAGCAGAGAAGACAAAGATGAACTCTTGAAGGAAAAAAATTAAATCTCATCAACAATGTATTTGCATGCATTGATTTCAGCAGAGCTACAGCACAGACGTTTTTCAGCAGCTCAGATTCCTTAGCCCTTGCTCTTAGAGCATGCTGCAAGACCTCCTTTCCTCCAAAGCAGAAAGGAGATGTTTAAGACAATAGCATAGTTAGCCAGCATTCAGAAACCGCTAGGAGTGCACAGTAGACTTCATCACACAGATGAAACTTAGAGTAACTTCCAAGTAGCTAAACTAAGTGTGCTATTCAAATCCTAGGCCAAGGGGAGTTAATTGCAGGATTGTTCATTGCTACAACTTCCAACTGCAGGAGAAGCATCTCATTCCAAAACGTGAGAGGAAAAAGGATATGATACAATAACTGTCACCCTGCTCATTACCATGAAGTGCTCTTACCTCTTCAAGTTTGCCAAGCTTTTCAACAAACTCTGCTTTCAGTGCTGAGACGTCCTGTCCATCTTTGACTGCAACACAATACTTGAAGACTATAGGTGATAGCTAAACAAAGCAAAAGGAGAAAGCTTTCAATACTCTTATTACAGTAATAGTCACTCAGAGCTTAAGATAGTAAGTCAGATCTTAAGTTGTTATTAAAAAGATAGATAAAGTCCATTAACAAAAAGCTGATACTTCAGAAGAGTTAAGCATAGCCTGAAAGGAAGACTGAATGCAAAAACCAAACACATTTTTGTAGTGCAGGAAAAGGACAACAATGAAAAGATGAGCATGTTTCCAGTTTGCACACACTACCAGAAAACAGCTATAAAAGTGGCAAGGTGCACAGCCTTTCTTTTCCCAGATACACACTTCTGAAATCTTGCTACTTTTTGAACACGATGGAGATTTACTCTAACATTTAAGGTACTTCTAAGAAACAGAGGTGCAGTCCAGGATATACAGACTTCTGCAGACCTGTAGATTTTCTAATTCGGCAATTGCAAGAGAAATTAGTGAAAAGTACAGAAACTTGTTCAGTGGCCAGGCTTAATTATAGGGTCTTCTTAAAAGCTCACATATCACTATTTTTCTAAGATCTTGTCATTCATACCACCAACATGCACTGCACATTTCATTTCCTGCAATAACCTTCCCTGTAAGCCTCCTGCCGTTATGTCTATTCAGAAAGACCTGTTGTAAATACAATTCTTTTATTCCCCCTTCTTTGGCCACATCTTTCTTTTTGCATCTTCCACTGGTTCCTCTCCTCTGCTGCCTCATATCCAAGCTAGCTTCCTTTACTTTCTAAATTCTTCAAAGCCTGTGCTAGTCATATCTACGTTTAGCATACTGAGCAGTTACCCCTCCTTCCAGGCAGCCACAATGCCAGCCTCCATCCCCCACTGAGAGCCAAAACCAGCTTCCTTATATGCCTCCACTGTCTACAGCCACCTGCCATTTTTTGTCCTAAGCTCTCTTAGTCAGGCACTCTTCAAATTCTGCATTCACAGAGCACTTCCCACAGACAGGCTTAGGTTAAAGTACAGCAATTGTCACCGACTAGGTGTCAACCATTCAGCTAGTTTGGTCTACTAACCTTCCTGCTATTGTTGGACACTCAAAATCCTGCCTCAGTCTTTAGCTGGCTTAGCTGTCCTCCTGCATCCCTGTCTTCATGTAATTGCTGGCAGGAATTCAGATGCACAGCTGTTTGTATGAGTAAACAGTAAGATACTCCAAATGTTGGAGGTCATTTAAAAGCTTTTCCTAGCTACAAGACCTGTCTTAAGACATGAAAGAAGCATTGGCAATGCAGCTGCAGTTTTGTTTTAGTAAAGCAAGAAACACAATCCCACCCTGATCACATAGTACCTTTGAGAAGTGTTCCAGGAGCATCTTCTGAAAGGCTCGCTCATATGGGTCTGAGGGCATCAGCTTCTTCCCTGGAAATGCTTCATCCAAATACTCACAAGTGATTGGAGACTCATAGATCAGTTGGCCCTTGCTGGTCTCCAGAACAGGAACCAGCCCAAAGGGGTTCTTCTCGAAGAACCAGTCAGGTTTGTTCTTCAGATTGATGTTGATTACTTCATGGCTGAAGCGTGAAAGAAATAAGACACAAAAGAATTAGTTCTGGTGCAGTACCACTCCATACCATGAAAAAATGCGATCATTACACCTCAAGAGCGACTGTAGTAAAGAGGCTGAATCCTTACTCTCCTGCTCTCCCTAATCTTCCCTGAGGTCCTTCACTTTGCGGGACTGGCCCTCTGACACTTAGAAACACTATCAGGGAGCACTTCCTTTATTGGGGAAAATCCATACTGACTTACAATGAGTTGTTTATTAAGCCACCAAGACACAGGAACAGACTGCATGCATTGAAAAGAGGAAGCCCTTCCAGTCATACTAAAATAAATGTCAAGCTCTGAATTCAGTGCACACTTATCACATGCAAGTTCAGGGAGCTTCTAGGCAAGAAGCATTTGCTTGTGAGCAAGCTGCACTCCAGTTAACTGCAGTAGCACTTTAATCTGGCAGTACCTCAGAGAGCATATCAGGAGAGTACACTGCCTACTTATTTATCTCTCTAGCCTATTGCCTCACATAGCCAAATAGACACTACTAAGAAAAACAGAAAACCTGAATATAACTTATGCTTTATTAGCATAACATACACAAGTATGACCCCATAACGTTCCCAGCAAACCCATATGTCTGCTAAATGCAGCTGAACCTTTTAAGCAACTGAAAGGTTGCCAGAAAAAAAAAAAATCCAAAATCACTATACTAAAACAAACCTTCCAGCCCCCAAATTAATCAAAAGAGACTAAAGACAGAACTAAACTTACCTGGAGTTTTTAAGGCACTCTGAAATATTACGTTTCTTTGAAAGAAACGGTTCTCATTTTGACAACAGAGAAGAACTGAGTGGTAAGCATTCACTATGCCAACAAGGACTCCAAGCCCAGTTAAAAAGCCTTTGGTAGGCCTGGAACTTGGTGGGAATCAGAAATACGTGAAAAAATTTGGTACTTTGAAACTGTAAAGTTAGTCATATCATTTAAGGGTCTCAAAAAAGAAACAAGATAAATACTAACTTTTAGAAACTCATTACAGAACAGGAATGAGAAGATATATTATATCACAGTACTTTCCCTCTGAAGAAAAGGTTCTTTGTTCTGTAGGACAAACTTACATATTGCATTATTGTAAGCAGTAATTTAAAGAAACACTGAACATTCATACTTCCCAGAATTTTCACAGCAACTTACATTGAAGCAAAATAAAAACAAATAAACAAATAAAAAAAAACCCACCCACTCACACTTTTAGGTGCTATTCACGCTTACTCATAAAACGGCTCAACAGCTGTTATTGCCAACAGTCAGGATTACGACAGATACAAAAAAAAAAATCAACTTAACTTCTTTGCTAATGATTGACTTCAGGCCTTTACATAATCGATTTCACCACACACTAATTCAGCAAGGCCCATACCTTCCCCCCAAATAAGTCTTAAGGGGTGCCAAGCTTTATAGCAAAATCATCCGCTGAAACCACTCTACATCGCAGTGTTGAATTAACAGCAATTTAGGAAAGCCCAGGTTAGAAACGAGGCTCGAACCCCGCCGCGTGAGCCCTCACGGGCCGTCCCCGGAGCCCAAGGCGTGGCGGCGGCAGAGGGTCGCGGCGCCG